GGCATGCTATAGCTGGTCATTTGGAAAACTTGTAGTATAATCTTTGCGATTGTACACCCTATTTTCTGTTTTAATATCAAATAATGTATTGGTACGCAGTGGAAAAGACTCCCGATCTACTCAAACTCAAAGTTCAAAGTCAAAGACGTTATCTTTACTTCACAGATAAAAATCAAGGAAGAGCTCAGGGGTCAAAGACGAAACAGAGCTTCGAGTCATACAGAAATGACTAGATCTAGATCTATCACTGCCTTTACATGCAAGCACGAACAATTAAATTTTGTATACATGTATGATTTTGTGGTTAAAAAGTAATAGCGCCCGTGAAAGTTTATTTTTGTTTCTTTTCTGCGTTAAATAGATCTTTGTTTTGTTTTTGGTGCCAGTTGAAAGTAAACGATACAAGTAAACTCCTGACAACTTGGATAAGCGGCTGTAAACATGGGAGTGACTCAGTTGCAAGTCGATATTGTGATCAGGACTTCTGTGAACTGGTGACATGTGCTGAAATTTCAAGGGTTGCATCGATATCAGTGTTCTTAAAGTAAAAAGTAGCGTTTTTGGGTATATCGAAATGATTTGTTGAACACAGGGATCGTGCCTTTTAATATGCTGGGCTTTTCAGTGTTGACGAGTGAGAAAGAAAGTGACGCCGAGACTGGCATCATCAACATCAGACATCAGTGTTTTTCATGAATGGATTATGATGAACTTTCTGTGAATAGGACCCCTACACATCCTTGTTATGATGACGACGGGTTAATTTTGAAGTGGTTTTCTTCACCAAATTCTGGACAGATATATTCTTGTGGTTTTCATGTCTTTTGTACTTATCTGAGGAAGAACATCTGTTGATCCCTTTGGCTTTTTGCTGACTTGCCCCAAGACCAAGAAGACCAAGTAACTTACAGTAAGTCAAGTAACTGAACTCAAGGTCTGTCAGTGGTCAGCGCCAGTTTTTGATCTTTAGGTAGGCTGACACAGTAAAACCTTTTTTAAAATTGTTCTGTCGGTGAAAAAGCAGGTTTGTTCTGTAGACGGTATTGGTAAATGGGCGCTTTTTCGGTAGTTCCCACCCCCTATTATTCTCGCCAGTTTTGGCTCCAAGAGTAGGGGGGTTTCAGGGCAAGCCCCCCTGACCTAATTTAAACCTGGGGCGAGGGGGGGCATGCCCCCCTAAATTTGACCATAATTTGATGTTTTGTAGAACGGTTTGAT